GGAATGAGGTGATCGTTTTCCTTTTTGATTTTCAACTGTGGATGCAGATTTCTGCATGAAGAGAGCAACTTGGGGAAAAATTAAAGGAAGAGATGAAAGTGCCACACTTCTTAAGTGATGTTTTAGGTGTTATTTATGACTGTGAACTACTGAAGAACAAATTCCCACCATAGAGCTTTGGGAGATAGTTTGCACAGGGGAACTTAAAAGTCAGATCGGTAGGATCTGGCTGCCTAAATACTGTCCCCCCCCCCCCACTTCTATTTTTCTATCTAGCAACACAACCCCGTCCTAAGAAAAAGTTTGGACCAGAATGTATGTTCTCTCTTTTTCAGTGGAATCATAAGCTTGGTGTTACACAGTCAAACACAGAAACATAGACAGGGCGTTATTGTATTTTTACTAATTACATTAGGAGGTACTTAAAGCAGACTGAAGGACCATTGAATGCCTGTCCTATACTTTTGCTGGAAGAGCCTGCAAGACAATTGCCCAGCCATCCCTCCTCAATATACTTTTATAAAACAAGCCATGAACAAAACATGAACAGGATCTGTTTCACTCAAGAGCTGTACAGTGGAAGCAATGTTAATAAATGAAAATAATTAATATTTAATAAATAGTATAATGCCAGTCGAAGAGGTGTCAAAGGTGGAAAACATAAGGCAAAAGAAGGTAAACAATTTTATGGAAAATGTATTCCAATCATAAAATTGTCCTACCAATATAAAATGACTACTGCTTCATCAGGACCAGGCTTGTTCAAAGTGGGAAAACAGTTTGTCCGATTAACACGATCCTACTGATAAAGGTTTGTCACGGAAAATCATTTTCTTTTGAGGTAAAAAAGACTGTGAAAGGAAAGGAATATGCCTCCATATTTAAAGCACATTAGTCATAGGAATGTCTCAATTTACCCTCTACTCCCTGTGGGTAAATGGTGAACTGTTTAACACTTTTTAGAATATAATTTTTTATGACTGTAATTTCCCACTCTGTCTTACTTTGCCAGTGGGTATACCATGTACTGTAGTTAAAAAGGGAAAGATTTCAGGTTTGTTTTGTTTGCTTTGCATGTTAACAACTGTACTTGCAAATCGACCATGGCACAGTTCAGGAGGAGGTCAAACCCACTTTTGCCAACCTGTGTATAAATACCTCACCTGTCCCTTCACCCCCCCCTCTGCCCTTGCAGCCCCTTCCCTCGCTCATACCTCAATAAAGGGAGCAGGGGGTGGGCAGCTTCACCCTGTCCTTACAGACTGGTTGTCCTCCACCTCTGCTGGAGTTACTCCACTAAAGGTCACCATTTTGAATAGTGCCTCCTTTTCCTCTTAATTAGGGTATGACAGAAGTACTGAAATAAGAGGCAGCATAGTTCTGTCATGACCTCTATCAAAAATGAAGAAAGCTAACAAAAAATAACTCCAAACATACCATTACCGTCTAGGTCTGTGCTTTCACAAAACATCACTTTTACATTTATAATACAAACAATGTAAGTTACAAAAACAAGAAACCCATCCCTGTAAAATATTGTACTAAAATAGCTGCTGATATTACCCATGTTAAATTAAGTTTTAGCTGCTGCATAATGGGCTGCTTCGTAGTTTCCCTCACCACATCAGTGCTTTAACTGTTTTGCATGTAACAGTAATGTAGTGAGGAGTAGGAAAATAACTAAATAAAAACTGCAAAATGCCTCCGGAGCTACTCTCTACAATGAAGCAGAACCTTGTTTAAGCAGCATGAGTCTTTGTTCTCAAGAGCACTCAATCAAGTGTGGTCACATACGAATTAATATAAAATAATCATCCACGTCCGCTCTCCTCTATGCAAGGAAAGTGGCTGTTCTGAGAATAGCTGATTGTTTTTTAAGAGGTAGCCTTTTAAAATGGGCATTTCAGAGCTAAGAATGGAAATACTGGCCACTGTGTTACATACTCTAATACGGTGCGTCTAGGTGTGGGTAGGAAACAGGAAACTGTTGCTGCCATTACAGTATAGCTGAGAGGAATGATCTCACATTCTCACTGATACACACCTGTTACCATTGATATCTCAGGTCTTTATGCAGATATTTGTTTGTTGGAAGCAGGAAGCAGTATCTACTGCAGCTGAGTGGCATACCACAAAAAAACAGCCTGATAGATTGGGACATGAAGTTACACAATGCAAATAAGTGTAACTTTATTACTTGTTGACCGACAAATGAAGTCAACAGATTGTTGTCGGTCATCTTAATTTAAACATGCTTTCTGTTCTGAACAATGGCTTTCCCTATTCCCTATTCTTCACTCAATATTATTACAAAGCTACTGAATTATATAAAATCGTCTAATTGCATTCTTTATTTAGTTGTTCACGTGTAGTTGATTCTGATGAGGTGGAACCGATAGCAGGTTTCCTGTATTTTCACAGCTAAACAAAACTTGCCAGTAATCATCAATTACTGGTTGCCCAACCAGGACAAAATGTCTTGGCAGCAGAGATAATTGATGAATTATTGTGTTAAACATACAGTAGATGATGACAGGCTCCTGGTTTTATTTGCTGCCTTTATTACTTTCTTAATTTTTTATTAGCAGCAGCAGTTCTGAGCATCATGGATGATGCAAGAACATTTTGAAAGCCTCTGGTCTTTTCTTCTGCAAGAACAATATTTCAACGTAACTGGTAATTACTGTACATAATTCAAACCAATCTGCAGATAACTCTGTAGGAAATTAAGTAGCCTTTAATTTTCCTATAATTTCTTTTTAGTTGCTAAAACCACTGTGTGACTTGCCAGAAACGTTTCCCTGTCTCTGCTTTTCTTCCACTCTTTCAATTTGTTCATGTCTGAAGTCATTTTTATGAGATTCGGCATCTATTCCACTATTCTAGTCCTATTATCTAAAAGGTGGGGACATCTTTAGGTGTTGGTGAAATAGGTGGTTACCTGCAGTGCATTGGAAAAGTTTTCTTTTTCTTGCTTTAAAGCTCTTAGTCTTTATACCTTTAACCAGTAATTAGTATGTGTTATATATATATACAGAAGCTGCCCCATGCGTTCAAGAAACAAAGTGACAAATAGATCATATGAAAGAAATTGAAAAGGTCTTGATAAGTATTTAACCACTTTGCTTTGGCAAATCGTGCACCTAAATTAAGTTTACTCTACGAGCTACACAATTAGTAGTGTGGCCTCCGTTTGCATGAAATGTTCTCCTAATTTCAGAATGAAATTGCCTGTCTCCGAGATCTTTGGTTGGTCAGGCAGTGGATTTGAAACAAAGGCTCAACCATGAAGACTAAGGTGCTTTCAAAGCCTAGTCAGGGATAAAATCATCAAAAAGTACAGATAAGAAGGAGGATACAAAAAATATCAATTTTATGAATATTCCCATGAATTCAGTCCACTTAATCATCTGGAAACAGAAGATACACCGTATCACCCAGACAGAGCTTAGATTAGGCCGCCCCTCCAAACTAAGTAGAACCCAGATCGCAGGATTAGGGGCCACCCAGAACCAGTCGACAACAACTGTAAAATGAAGAGCCTCTGCATAATGAATGGAAATGTTATGCAGGGATTACATTGCAATTCAGCAAATTTGCATAATTGTCAAAAATGGAATTTAACCTGTTAAAGCCTAACAATACTTTCATTGATTTACTTTCCAGAACTAAATATGATTCACATACAGTCCTGCCTTTGGAGTGAGACTGTAACTGTAAATAAGATCCTTATAAAAGATATCACATTGACATGTAACTCTAAATAATTGATTTCTAATAATACTATATGTGTTGTACAGAAAACACGTGATGTATCAAGATTTCACTTTTGATCTGACAAATTGCACACTGTTTGAAAGGGTGAGGGCGCATGCAAAAGGCTTCTTTCTTTCCGAGCGATCAAGTGAGACCTCTGAGGCCCAATTAGACACATGGTTCACAAGTAATATGCTTCAATTTCTGCTTTACAGCCAAAAAAGTGAGAAATAGAAATTACTGAAAAACACTTTTCAGATGAAAACAGAAGGCAGGTGCTCAAATGAGGTCCCGAAGAGCTGAAAGGCTTTTGATTTTTGTTCTGAATTCAACTAATTTCCTTAATTGGTCACAATTAGAATCTTTTTCCCTTTTCCCCTATTTTTGGCAAAGCTGGCCCTAGAAGACTGGACAGAAAAGCCCCCTGATTTAGATCATAGTATTTTTATTGCCTCGGATAAATATATTCATTTTTATCCAACCCCTCATGGGTTTTGACAGTGAACTATTATTCTTTGAGCGTTTAAGTTGTATAAAATCAGTACAGAATCTACTGAATACACAGAAGTTGTGTGAAAGTAAAATTAATTACAATATAAATCAAATGTTCTTTGCAATTAAAAAAAAAGCTTTTGAAGTAAAATAAGTTTACCCTTATCCCTATAGAAAAAATGTTTTTACTTGTAGTGGGGCAAACCTTTATGAAATAGGTTTCCTCGTTTTTTATTATTATTGTTGTTGTTGTTTTTTGACAGGTAATTTTGTGTCGGGTTTTCGTTCTGCATCTAGCCCTGGAAAAGGTGGATATCAATATCAAAGATGTTTACTTAGGCTTTCCAAGGAGATAATTACTAATTTTAGATTTAAAGCATAGTAATGCCTAGTTTTAAAACGGTTAGGTACTGTACATGCCTGGATAAGTGAGTTTTGTTTTAACGTACAGCTCGTTTCTATAACTTAGAATTTGTATTTTGTTTGACCAAGTAAAATTTACAGAAATATGTCTTAGTGTACAGGAGACTACAGCGGACATCGTTAATTTGAACAGAACGAAAACAATCCCACTTTTTCCTTTTGTCAGGAATAAGCAAGGTTACTAAATCATGAGGACAAAAATATTTTGTTAGGACCTAGCGGAGTCCCAGCGGCAGGCGTTAGGACCTAGCGAGTCTCTTCTGCGAAAGAGGGAGCCTGTGAGTGAGTTGGGGGAGCGGTTGGCAGTATAAGCATCTGGGCCTCAGCATCAGCATCACTTGTGAGATCAGGCAAGAGAGAGTCAAAACTAAAACGCGCCAGCTGAAATGCGTACTGTACACGAGAGGCTTAGATAGAACATTTTAATTTCTTCTTTCTTTCTCCCCCCACCCCAATAGAAAACAGAGGGGAAAAGGAGAGGAAAAACTGTCTTAAAATTACGGGATCCTTTAAGGAGCGATGGATTACTTCAGAAGACCACCATTCATACACCTCGCGCTGTGCATCTCAATAGGTTGGTGCTTTATGTATTTCATAGGTTGATGCTTTATCCAATTCTAACCACTGTGCTGAACCTATCCGTACATCTGTGCTTGTTCTGCAGTCGGCACCGGAGCTGTGCACCTACTGTAACTTTTTTTTTGCGGGCAGTATAGACGTGCCCCCGGCTTAAATATCCACCACAGTAATATATACAGTATTATATAGTAATATGTATATATTATTATGTACTTAATTTGGACTTTTATCAGCTGTAGGCTATATAAATAGCTGAAGGCTACTTTTGCAGTTTTATTTGCATTTACATGGTAGTTCTCATTTTGTCACTCACGCAGTATATTGATTATTGTAAACAGTTCTAATATGAGTAATTACAGTATTAACAAGAAGAAGCGCTTCAGCGTTTTTGAATACGGTTACCTTACCGTTGGTAAAGCTTGAAGGTCTTTTAAACAGGTTATTGAGTTTATACATTTTCATCCGGCAACGTCTTTGGGTTGTAAACTGCACGTTTTCTGATACTCCTCCAAAGTAGTGCGTCAGAGCTCATGCTGGTTGTAGAAATTTCAAATGCGTTTGTAACCCTGGAACATAGAGATGAACATTACGTTGAATTTCCACGGAGTGTAAACTATAAGTGATTGTTTTTTTATATTCGCTTAAAATATTTTTAAACGACAGCTATCAACCACTGGAATATATCGGTTAAAACTAAGTAACAACAATCAGCGTAAAAACGTTTTAAATTTAAAATTTCATAACTACATAGACCTTTCCTTCCGGATTTATGTATTGAGGAAAACGAATTTAATTTTTAACAGAAGGCGTTGTAAATTATATAATGTTTATATATGTGTATATACAGTATTAAGCATCTGCGGTTTTATTTTTGAATACTGTTGACTGTTTCACTCCGGCAAATTCGCATGCTACATTATTCTGCATAATGTTTTTATTACTGCACTACCGCTAAACTGTAGTTAAAGCGAATAAACAACAGTAGAACCGAATGAATACAATAGGAACTGTGAATCTCAATAATTGATATCGATAACAATTTTAGGATGCTGTGCTGGCAAAACATAACTAAAGTTACCGATAATCTAGCACAACCAGGAAGACTGAGAATGACAATCGAGTTGGGCTCTTTTTTTGTTAGTTACTGTTGTTTTAATAGTGTATGCTGTATTGTTTAAATGCGGGGAGCCAAACATTATAGAACCGAGAGTAAACAACAAATTGTTTTTTGTACTTTTTTATTTATTTTTTCTGTTATACCAGGTACCGTACGTTGTTTTATATGTCTGGATGCCAACTCTTGTGCTGTCGAACTCCGTTGTGCAAGTCATAATTTACAGTTTGTGTTGTAAAACATGCAGAGTAGCCAGACTCGCAGGCTCCGCTAGGCTGCAGATTTCAATCTCGGAGAAAAGGACCCTCATCCGCTTTCAATCCACCCTGTTTGTTAACATAAAATTCTTTAATTCTAAGAGTCATCTATTTTTCTGTCAGTTCTCAGTAAAAAAAAACCTAAGTTACCCGATACTTTAGTTAGTTAAGCAAAACTACGTGTCTAATTCACCAGAACATTTTGGAATTTTTCATTTCAGAATGCATTAAATCGCAACTGCCTGGTATTTAGAGCCACAGTAGGTCAATGTTTTTGGTTATATTAAAAAAAAAATGAAAAAGTTGCTTGATATTTCATAATGCATAATCCCAATTTCAGACTTCGGCAATGAAATATAACAGATCTAAAAGGTGTCTTTAGTTCTTACTTTAAAAGCAGCCGGTTTATAGAGTTCTGTGAGCCGGGAACTTGCATTTTCTTGGAATCTGTTCAGCCGCTTGTGTAGGTTAACTGTAGCTCGATGTCCTGAATGCGTTTAGTTGCAACCTTGTTGCCAACGCCAACTTGTTTTCTTTTCTCGCTCTTGAAAACGCGATCATTCAGTTTTCGGATCCGTGTTCCACGTTGCTTTCCTGCTGTCAAAACAGGTCCTTGTACTTTTGCAGATCGAGCAGTTGTTTAAATGAAGTCGTGATTCTGATTTTTTTATGAATCAGTTGTAAGCATAGGGTTAGGGTTACCCTTTGGGACAAAATCAAGCCATTTCAGCCCTGAAAATAAAAATGTGATAGATAAAACCTAATATTTTAATACATATTGATCTCAGCATAAAGATCAAGGAGCTATAATAATGCCTCAACACACACTTGTGAAAATGGTATTACTGAATAAGTTTCCGGTGATTTTTCTTCAGAACAATTTTGAGATTTTTATAATTAACACATTTTGAAATGAAATATTGATTTTAAAAACAAGCACGACATTTCATCTCTGATTGCTTATGTAGTTTTTTATTCTTTCCAGAAACAAGTCCTCGTTAGATTTATGGGGCCGAAATGCATGTAAATTCTGCATGAGTCTTTGGAGTGAAAGATTTATGCAAATATACACGAGGAGGATGAACGGAACAGTGACGTTCAACATCTTACTATGTAGGACAAAGTTTGCAAGAGAGATTTGATGTAAACAGATTAATTATTTTGGTTTTCGTTTTGCCTTGTGTAGCACTGGCAAAATATGAGTGTATTAAATCTTGTTGCCAGTATTGGCATTATTATATATGAATGCATATATGGGATCCATAGTCCTGGTTTGTGAGACTGCAGCTTTGTTGTGGCCCAAAAGTTTAAATAAAAAAGGTGTGTTTAACAGGACCCACATGGAACAGTAAGGTTCATATCCACTGACATGACCTGATGTTGTTAATGTTGCTCAGATTCTTTCTGATTTTATAATAATAATTGCTTACACTTATATATGTAGTGCTTTTCTGGGCACTCCACTCAAAGTGCTTTACAGGCAATGGGTAATGGGGACTCCCCTCCACCACCACCAATGTACAACCCCACCTTGATGATGCAATGGCAGCTATAGTGCACCAGAACGCTCCCCACACACCAGCTAGTGGGGAGGAGAACAGAGTAATGAAGCCAATTCATAGAGGGGGATTATTAGGAGGCCATGACTGGTAAAGGCCAGGGGGAATTTGGCCAGGACACCAGGGTTATACCCCTACTCTTTTCGAGAAATACCTCAGGATTTTTAATGACCATAGAGAGTCGGGACCTCGGTTTTACGTCTTATCCGAAGAACAGCACCTTTTTACAGTATAGTGTCCCCGTCATTATACCGCTGCATTAGGACCCACACAGACCATGGGGTGAGCGCCCCCTACTGGCCCCACTAACACTAACATCTCTTCCAGCAGCAACCTTAGTTTTTCCCAGTTTGTCTCCCATCCAGATACTGACCAGGTTCACACCTGTTTAGCTTCAGTGGGTTGCCAGTTGTGAGTTGCAGGGTGATATGGTTGCTGGCAACTTTATGTTTGGTAGTTAATGTAAGATGAGGTATTAATTTCCATATAACATATTAGTTTTTTACACAGATGACTATTGCAATACCTCACTTCAGTTGAAAAATATAATGTACAAGACGCAAGTTACAGGTCCTTTGCAAGCCAGTGGTTATGACCATCTGGTGGCCTAAATCACTCCTTTTCCTGTTCTTGACAGCAGAGGATACAGCTAATTTCTTCTGCTATGGTCAGCACCATACAACTGCTATGCAAGAACTATGGAAAAAATAGACAAATAAGAAAACACTAAAGTTCTGGAGAACATAGCAATATTTGCACTCTCTGAAACCTTGAATTGCGTTGGGCATAGAATGGTTCACAATATGTTCTTTTGCTGTGAATCCTGTAGAGAAGACATTGGAGGTAAGCATGAGCAGTTGCTTTATGGCTTCTCTTGAATGTGGGCAACAGTATTGGCGTCCTATAAACCGATGCCTCCTTTGGCTTCTAAGACTTCATGATAGGCATCGGATTTTTTGTACATTTTGTTTTGTAAAGTCCCATGTATAATATTGTAATACAATAATATTAGTTCCAAATAAATGAGAAAGTTTCACCAGCAGAGTATTTCATTCTTGTTTTTGTGGTTAATACGTATCACAAAGTCTGTGATGTAAATAGAGTAATGAAGTAATTCTGAGTGCATGCTTTATGAATCCCCTGTTCAAATAATCACAAAACAAAAGCAGTGTGAGGCTTTTATTTTACTACCAAACTAACCCTACTCATGACACGTCATATAGAGAAGTGTCTACTGAAACATTGTAATTGTTAGCCTTTTAGCAGGTTTGACAAACAGCTTGAGGGGCTAAATTGCCCCATTGTTTCTTCTACTGAAGATTTTCTTACTATTTTTTTTATTTACCTTGCGATTTAAGAATTTGACATGCAGCTAATGTCACCAAGAGACAGAAGTGACTACCTGTACTGTCACTTTGTTGTCTGACAGCAGATGACAAAATACTATATGTGCAAAGGTACTGCAGTTCTGAGCAGAAAGATACAGCTGGCCATACATAGTCTACATACAGCTCCTTTTTTCAAAGAGGTATTGGTCATAAAATCTTATATGGGACAGACAGATACTCTGCTAAGTTCAGTATGGAAAGTTGCTGGTTCCCTTTTATTTACTAGTAAAGTATATCTCGCACTTCCACATTGATAAATGTCTTGACCGCCTAAGGCTCTGTGAATTTCAGTGCATCTGGAACACAGTTTAATGAAAGGATGATTAAAAGTTCTTTCAGCCCTTTTTGTTTAAACTCTGTTTTTGTTTTTCATTTAAGCCTGCTTTGGAAAGGGCAGCTTCTCATTTCCTTTTCATTTCTCAGTTGTCTTTCTTGGAAAGGAGAGCTCAGACTTGTGTTGATTATTGTCAGCTTTTTCCTCATAAAAAGCTTTTTATGGACATTTTTAATTCCTATTTTTTGTGAAGTCCTATTTTGGAATTTATTGAACATTTTGACATCACTCGTTTTATGAAGAACAAAGAACAGATGCACAGACTGTCAGAGTGGTCCTTACATACATGTAGTTCTGTTTTATGAGGCTGTTCTACTTACAGTACTGTATGTATCTAACCTAA